GCCACCCCACCCCCTCATGCCTACCCTTCTCTAAGCTGGGATTACAGGGATGTGCTGCTGTCCTTAGCTTTTTAAAAGCATGGATTCTAAGATTTGAACCCAGGTCCTTGTGTTGCACACTTGCGATGGGGCCATCTCCAGCCCCAGGGAATCTGTCTGTCCAGAACAAAAAGACCAAGGTGCTGTCTCCTTGCCACACTTGAGCTGACGCTTGCAATAGTCCGTTAAGAGACTGGCTCTGACAGCGGTGGGCTGTGGGGTGTGGTCAGTAGAGTGAGACTGCCCGGCATCACGGAGAGACCCCTGGGGTTCGCTTTCCTGTGATGTGACTAGCAAGGACCATGTCACCATAGTGTCACCCTTGGCTAGTGAGCAGTGCTGGTGAGAAGAAGCACTGTGTCTGCTGACCCCGCATCCTTAAGTCCCATGAAATGGTGAAGATCTCGGTAAGCCAGTGACACTCGGAACAAGGCTCCTGCCTCGGAGATTTCAGAGTGTGGACAGTTAGCTTGGTGCCTGTCAAGCCCCAGCTCCCACAGCTTGGCACAGTCCAGCATACAGGAAATGAAAGACTATGGCTGTAACTTTTAACACGTGGAGAAATTGCTTCAGTGTAGAATCTCTAGCCTCTTAAAGAATCCTACAGTTTTGATACGTATTTTATATGTTGTTTTGATAAATATTTTCCTTTGTTTACTCAAAGGCAACATACTGCTGAATGTTCTGATTCCACCCAATATGCCGTGCACCCGAACAGGGAAAAACAATGTCCTCATCGTCTGTGTCCCCAACCCTCCACTCGATGAGAAGCAGCCCACAGTCCCGGTCACCATGCTGATTCGGGTGAAGACGAGCGAGGATGCGGATGAATTACACAAGATTTTACTGCAGAAAAAGGATGCCTGAGCACTGAGGCCGACCAAGGAATGTTGCCACATTGCTGCTTCCCCTCTGCCCCCTAAACTTAGTCACATTCTTTCCTCTTCTTACTGTGACATTCTGAGAACTCCTAGGTAACGGGAAACTTCTGTGAGGAAGATTAAGGCCAATAAAACCTCTGGATGTGTCAGCTCTGTTCCCTTCCTGAGAACTAAGCAAAATACATTCAAGGGAAAAATTTGGGAAGATTTTTAATGTGGATGCATTGAGTAAAAACTAACCTAAGTGATTCTTAATGGACTGCAATCAGGGTACCAGTTAGCTCTCCAAAGGCTCCTTCAGGCAGCCTTGGGCTCCGCTCTCCTGCCTGCTCCAGGAGACCCCATGGCAGTGTCCCTCAGTGCTCCGGAAGACACCCACCGCTCCCCTCCTGTGGGCCTCTCTGACCCGTGACTAGCACTCCTGCCAAACACCACGCCGCCACACTGTGACTGTGCTAAACTGGGGACTGGGTGTCGCTGTCATCGGCCTGTTGGCAGGCACTGGCCTTTGACCTGGGGCTGCTTGACTGATCCAGAAACGGCCTTTTCATGAAAAGGACATGAGTGGCCTGTCGGGGAGCTGGCGGTGTAGACTAGGTTTTGTTTTTATCCAGGAGGTGCTCTTACTTTACCCCCTCAGTTAATGTGGAAGGGGCTGTCAGGAATAATGGATTTTAAAAGCACAAATTTGGTAGCTTTTTTTATATCATTTCTATACCACAAACAAGCCTTTATTTTAAAAGAAAAAAGAGAAACCATACTGAAAAGGGATGTGTGCGCATGGCCGTTTCTGCCTGCTGAACCCCATGGGTACAGCCTGAATAGAGTCCTCAGGAACCATGCACTCAAAAGAAGCAGGAGTGTGGGGGTGGGAAACCACCAGTTTGGCCTGTAGCTTCAGACAGCAGCAGCATGTTACTGGGCATCTGAAAAACTCGTGTTTATTTTTATTTTTTTAAGGCTGAGGTATTGTGTCCATTTGGAAGAGAGCCGTGGTTCTGCACGGGCCATTCATGTCACTTCAGAGCGGTGAGGTTACTAATACTAGCATTCTCTGAAGACCAGACATCAGTTAAATGCAGGACTTGATGCCTAGCTGCTCATGGTTCACACACCTGTAATCCAGTGCTGGAGAAGCTGAGGCAGGAAGATGGTGAGTTCACAGCAGCCTGAGCTACAGAGTAACCCCCACTCCCCCCCCCCCCCACCCCCCCCCCCCCCCCCCCCCCCCAAAAAATATTAAAAATTTAATGAAATTTTTAAGAAATAAAAATCCTGACCTTCAAATTTGTATGGAATTCACAAAAAAAAAAAAAAAAAAAAAAGACTAAAGTTCCACTCTGATTCCTCATGAAACCATTCAACACTAGGACCAGATCTTGTCTGAAGGCTTAGGGTCAGTGCCCAGGGTGCACACGTGTGCTCAGATTGTCAGTACACAGTACACAGCTGTTCTGACCTGGGCAGAGTCATAAAACCTGATGGCACAGTTGCCTTCTCAAAACTGCAGTGCCAGGGGTGGGAATGAAACCTGGTTAACTTTTGTTTACGTAGCCATGGCTAGCCTTGAACTCGGAGATCCACCTGCCTCTGCCTCCTAAGCCCTGAGCTGGTTAGCTTCTGTTGAGGTGGGGTGGTAGGGTTTATCACTCAGGGTTACAGTGCTCTGCGCGGATGGCATGCTTGTGCTTCGTGGGGTGTGGACCTGGGGAGGTGCTCTGCATTGATTTGCTTGCCATTTGGCTTTGAGAATTGGTTTCTAACAAGCGAGTTGCTGCTTCTGTTACCGCTGGCCCTGCCCTGTTCACATTGGGTTTGCCCAGCTTTCCAAAGATGTAATGAGGGGAACGTATTCAGAACAGTGCCATGTACCACGTGCCTGTGGGGCTGACTGCTCTCAGACTCTCAGACACTTTCAGGAACCTGTCTATTCGTGGTGGGGGGGGCTCTGTGAGCATCTGCCCATGCCTTGAATATTTACCAAAAGAACAAAAGCAAAAAAGGTCGCAACTGGGTTGCCGTCTAAGCTCCCTAGTCCATTTTAACTGTAAATTAGTGGGTGTGGCTTTCCTTTTCCTAACATTCCTAGCACCAAGTTTGCTGCTAAGACTATCACTTTTGGAAGCGAGAATTACAGGGAGAGGTGGTGTGCCCGGAACTCGGTGTGTCTCATCCTTGTGCTATAGGAGCTGGCTCAACACTGCACTTACCCTGAGTGGGAGTCGCTGTGATGTCTGTCACAGGGAGGCTGGCCCCTGGAGGGCTGTCTCTTCTCCCTCCACTGTCTTAGTAGCTGGTTCCAACTCATGGCTTAAACTTCATTGATATTTCAACATGTTAAAATTTGCCTATTGTATGTTTGATGTGAACTGCGGTTTTTATCTCCAGGTGGAAAATCTAAAGTCTTTCATATATTTGCCTGAGGAAGTGTGTGTTCTCTGTGGTTGGTGCATCTAGGCAGAGGCCGAGCCTGGGCCACACTGTTTCTCCCGCTTTCTTTCGCACATTCCCAGTAAAGGACGTCTGAGCCCTGTGCTGGCTTCCTCGGAGAGCCACACGGATGGGCTGTGGCTGTGTTAGCGACAGGCCCACCTGCTGACGGGCTGACTTCTCTTTTACAGTTTCAGCTCTAAATCCTATTTTGTACATGCTGCGTGCCAAAAAAAAAAAAATAATAATAATACCTGCTGCGGAGTAGAGGGAAAATGCCACCTTGTCAGGGTTTTCCCTGACAGCCTCCTCTACCTTTGAACGTTAAGGAGTCTTCTTGCCAGTTTGTTGTTATGTTGTTACTCTTTCTGAAGATGAGAAACAGCCCCCCGAGGCTGCAGGCTACGGGCTCAGACCGTCTAAGTCTCATTCTGGAAGGGGGATTTTAAGGAAATGACCTGTTCTGTTACCCATAGGTGAAGTTGGGAGCTCTTCAGGGCATCTTCTAGCCCCATGCTCTGCACAAGGCCACCGCGTGCTCTTCAGAAGCAATCATAAGACTGAGGACAGATTTGTAAAGGGGATGTAAGACTTCTTAACAATCACATGGAATAATCTGCTTTTTACCTTAAACAGGAAATTGTTTTCTAAAGCTAAAATACTTGAATTGTCAAGACAGTATAATCTCAGTGTGTGTGAGCTTTTGAATGAGCCTGTGAGGAAGTGTACCAATCCATGAAATGTGAATAAATGGAAAGTTAACCCCAGGCGTGTGCCACTGTTTTGTTTCTGATACCCTGGCAGATCAGTGGAGAAGAGGCACGGGACAGTAGTGTGCAGAAGCGTCTCTGAAGTGGGGGCTGGCCTGCATGGAATTAAGTGGGGTGCAGAGCCTCAGACCAGGGCTGGAGGCTAGCTTTCTCCTCCAGAGTAACACTGAATTCTATCCATTCGGTGATGTGTTGAAGCTGTGTTCAGATTCTGAAGTTTCCTAAGGAACACAGCATTGTCTAAGTTATAAGGCGTTTCCTGGTTGAAAAAGGTGATGGAATGCTGGCCCCAGGGTTCTGAACTGAGACAAGTGACAGGTGCTTCCTGAAGAGTAAGATTGCCCCTGAGCCATTGGGGAAACTGGCTGATTTGGTGTAGGCCCCCCCCAGACTTTCTAGGACTGACAGCTTTTGGGGCCCCCTAAGCCCACTGAACCAGAAGCTCAGGTTAAGGCCCAGTCTGTATTTGATATAGTTAGTGGTTTTCGTACAATCACACAACTACTACCAGCCATTGTATGTGACCAGATGACCTGGCACACAGCTGCGCTTGACTACTATTAGCCGGGAAGCTCCCTCCCTGTAATTCCAGGTACAGCCATGAAATAAGTACCTGTTAGCACATCCTAGGAGGAAATGGCAGTGACCACCAGCATACCCAGGAACTATGCTGACCTCTATACATGACCTTGTCTAACTTACTGTTGGTGAACCTGAAGGGATGTATTGGGGTGACATGGCTTGCTAAGGGGCCCGATCTATGTGGCCCTTTCCAGTGTACCCATTGAATCACTCAATTTCAGTGGTTTCTGGAATTGGCCTAAGTCTTTGAGTAAAATTGTTCATTAAAAATATAATCAAAGCTCACCAGAAACAATGGTTATTTCAAACTGAGCAACCTGATTGCTTTATTAAAGTCAGATTCCAAAATGAAAGAGCCATCCACATAGAGGAGAGAAAAGTCTTGCTAGCCTGTTGGCTTACATGAGGCTGTAGGAGGCCAGTGAGCGACATTGTTAAGAACAGAACAGGACCCTTTCTTTTATCACCCATCCCCCAAAGCAAGCTTTCCCTTCCTTGTTTCCCAGCTTCCTGTCGCTTTAACAAGCACAAAGTCCGATGTCTCCAGGTGACATGGGTATATACAATGAGCTACAAGGAGTACGTTATTTTACATTGCTCTTTTCTCCATATGTTCTGGAAGGTTTTCCTTTTCAGGGAGCATTTTCTTCCATGCTAGGGCTGACAGCTGCTCCTAAAAGGTATGGGTCCGGATAAAAGACCTGAGACAGAACTCTCTTCCCACGGCATCTGGGAAGCTGGAAGGCGCGCACTGCAGCCAGCATCCAGGGCAGAGACTTCAGGCTACCCAGGGATAGCAAGGAGGCATGACTTACCTGCTAAGCCCACGCCTCCTTCCTACCACCTTACAGTTGGCGGTTCCAGTTCACAGGGCTCTCCTGGTTTGGTGGTTCTAGGGGAGGGGCTGATTCCTAACTCCACTGTGTATATATATTAGGCCCAGTTCCTTGTGACACAAGTCATTTGGCATGCTCCCTATGCATGAGAAAGTGGCTGTGATCTTTTCAAGCTGTGGTGATTGCAGGTGCCTGCTCAGCAGCCCACCGTCAGAGGTGCTGGGTGACAGGGACAGGAAGGCACCTGCCAGGATTTTTCCTAAACTCTCACTAGGTTCCAACTTGTATTCCAGCCATCTTCCCACTGCCAGAAGGGTTTTTCTGGGAGTCTTAGAAAAGCTTGGGAAGTCTCAGTCCAAACACTGCCAGGGTGTATTTTCATGGGAGCACAGAACCAAGCCCAAAAGGCATCGTGTGATAGCTTTGGAAACGCCTACACCTCTGGCCAGCATGGTCACTGTCCCCTCACAGGGTCTTCACAGACCAGCAGCCAGCAGGACAGCCCAGTGCATGGGGTGGCCTGTCAACCCCAGCGGGAACCATTTCAGAACAGTGTCTGTGGCAAAGCTTGCCGCAAAGTCAAGGTCATTCCCCTGACTTGCTGTAGTGTCTGTATTAACCTGAAACGCGTATTAAAAGAAACAGGTATGGGCCAGGGTCACTTCTAAGAAAACTCATTTTCAGTGTCTCTAAAATGCAAAGCAACGTCCCTAATAATTATGAAATCATAAAGCAAAGTCAACAGCTGCCACAAAGCCTGCCTTGAGAGGCTTTCTGTTGGGTGAGGGTGTCCATGGGAAAGCCACCTGCAATCCGTACACTAACTCATTCAATGTACTCATGTCTTCGTTGAAATGGTTTTTTGTAGAAATCACGTTTTGAAGTAACAGAAACAAAAAAAAAAAAACAATTTTTGTAGGTATAATTACTCATATAATTTTGGAAGAGGGAAGATTGCTATTTGCATCTAAGTTTCCTGACCTACTAAGTAAGGGGCTGAAGTCAAAAGAATGTAGAAAGGACTGCACCGAGGGGCACAGTCCAGCTGGTAAGAGTGCGTGCCCAGTGGCACAAAGCCCTGGGTTCCACCCCCACCACAGCATAACACCAGGCACAGTGGTGTAAGCCTGTAACCCCAGCACATGGAGGTGGAGGCAGAAGGTTCATTAGTCAGCTCAAGGTCATTCTCTGCTAGACAGCAAGTTTGAAGCCAGCCTGGGCTACATAGACCCTGTCTCAAAAATAGACCACACACTGACACACACACACACACACACACAAACTATTGGTAGCTCGTGGTCTGAAATCACCTTGGAAACAGAAACCTGTAAACACAAGCTGTCAGCAGGCCATGGCTCCCTCCCCTTCTGAGGATCTACCTGCTGCAAAACTCAGGTCCCCACCCCAGCCATAGCTGTCAAGTCACTTAGCTTGGTGTGGTGCTGCCAGCAGTGGCCTGTGGAGACCCGCAGGTTCCTGTCAGTATCTCATCAGTGATGGCCTTTCAGGCACTGCCACTCCTCACCTAGAGGGACAGGGGGCACTCTGGCTACTCTCCCAAAAGGGCCATTGCTGATGCCCCAAAAGGCTACTTCTGTTCAAGCTCATGATCATGCCAGGGACGGCGGCGACTCCTGTGTACGTTCATGTCTCACAGCGCTCAGTCCTTTGGGTTTTATATTGACTTTTTAGGGAGGCTACATCCAGGGGACAGTCCTGTGTAATGATACAGAGGTGAAAGAGAGCCTGGACGGAGGAGCCGTGTGCTATCAAGGTACTTGGATTGTAAAGCTAACCTGAAAAATGAACTGGACCTAAATAATCAAAACTCAATACATCCAGAGTTTTGGCCAAAAACTTCAGACTACTTACGACATGGTCAAAAATTTTTTTTATAGTTATTACACTAGACGAACTACATAGGGGCTGGGATGTCTTTTAATGAAAACATTGTTTGTTTGTTTGTTTGTTTGAGACAGGATCTCATTATGTAGCCCTGGCTGTCCTGAATTCACTCTGTAGAGCAGGCTGGCCTCGAACTCATGGAGAGCCACCTGCCTCTGCTTCCCAAGTGCTGGGATTAAAGGTGTGCTCCACCACACCTGGCTTATTTCATTTTTTGCCTGTGTTTTAGATAATAATCTTTTGGAGTAGAAATGAGCCTGGGCTGCCTTTGTAGGCAGCTGGGATTCCAGCAAGATCCCAGGAGGTAAGGTGGACATGGCCTTAAGAAACAGAGACGCCCCCTCCAAAGAGCACAAAGCAAACAGTGCTTGCTTCTTAGTGTCCTAAAGACTGACACCAAGGTTTCCTCAAAACACAGTTGCACTTGAATTCCAGCTGCCATGTGTCACTGTGTTGTGTGAGGACAGGCATGTTCCCAGGAAAAGGAAAGATGGTCTCAGAAGCCAGTCTGTCAACCCTAGGATTCTGTCACTAGTCACTCTCAGACTTTGAGACAGGGTCTTGCTATATAGCCTAGGCTAGCTGGGAACTGTCCTGCCTCAGCCTCAGTACTGAGATTTGCAGACATGTCTGGCCCTCTGATGTCAGCTATTTGAAAAAGTAAACGTCAGAATTCTATCCCAGTTCTCAAGAGCCTCAACATGTTTGGAACTCAAAAGTACCCTTTGGAGAAAGGGGAAGGTTGACCGAATGTCTGGCTGTGTCCTCAGGGACAGCATGCAGTTCCAATCGTAGACTGGGGCTTAGAACAAGCTTGCCTCCTTCCACTGTTCCTCGTGGTTCAGCTTGGAGTTCACTCAGCCTCTCTGGGGTGCTTTCCTCCTCTATAAATGGAATGATGGTACCTAAGCATTGGAAATGGGCCTGTGGATATCAGTTACTTCCATGTGCCGCACAGAGCCAAGTTGCATGACACAGACTGTACCTTCCTCCAACCTGGGAAGCACTTGTATTCACAGTTACCCCAGCTTAGAGAAGCCAGTCTTGCCCAAGCCCAGCTGAGAGAACATGGCTAAGCTCTGGGAGAGGGAAACTCCCAGAAAAGAGAAGCCATGGAATTGCTACAGTCCAGGACGGCCTCAGTCTTCTGCAGACCACACACCTGGCTGCATTTCCCCCAAGATATCAAGTCCAGAGTGTTCGGACCCCAGAATGGCTAGGGTCCTGAAGCGGCAGGCTGCTAGGACCTCCCTAGAAACAAATGTGGAACAGCAGTCACACCCCTGCAGGAGAAATGGAAACCCTAGACTGCAGGGCCACACCCATAGGCCTGAGGTACTCCGGCATTCTGGGGCAGGATGTGAGTCTGCTTCAGTGGTTAGACTACAGCATGGACCCAGGCTCCAGCAGAAGACCAGTGTCTAAACTTGTCCCTTTGGAAGGAGTTATTTCAGAGCAGGCAGGAGAGGCGAGCTTCCTGGCCACCTAACACCCACTCCTAAGACCCAGCCTGAGCTATGCAGAATGACAGGTGGTCTCAAGCCCTGACCCAACCATGCACTTGAACCCTGGAGACTTCAGTGAGGTAGGTGGTATAAGCCCCATTTTACAGGTGGGCAAACTGAGGCAGAATGAAATGCAATAGCTCGCTTTTAATAACAACATACAAAATCTAGAGAAAGCCCCAAAGTAGTCCCCACTCCCAAAGACCAAGGATTGGAGCCATGCTCCTGTTCCTGCTCTATAGCCCAGAAGGGCCGAGCTCTGCATACACTGCTGATTTCTCCAGAATCTGGGACACTAAACCCAGTGGCAAAAGGAGGCCTAGCTTCCAGTTTATTCCAGTTGGGCAGAGGAGGCCTCAGCTAGAGCACACTGCCAGGGTGAGCCTTGGGCTGGTGACCCATGGCCACTGGCACTCACCAAGGATGACGTGGGCTCATGAGCAGCCAGTCTGCTCCTCTCTGCCTAGGAAGCCAGGCTGAGGACAAGACCAGCATGCTGACCAAAAGCACGGAGGCAGAGGGGACAGTGCCAGCCTTGCTCTGAGCTCTGGCCCCAGGGTGATTCTGCCTAAAAACCCCCCTGGGAGGCTTCCAACCCCGGTCCCCATCAGACATCCCTCAGCAGAAGTTCCCTCCCACGTTCCTTCAGAACCAAATCCTGCGTCCCTCCAGCCGAGATTGACGCAGGACATCTCGGGGTCGGAGGTGTGTGTGTTGGCGGTGTTCTTTGGATGGAAGCAAAGGCCATTCTGGGGGATCGGGGCCTGTCTGCCCAGCTGGAGGTGGAGACCCATTCTGAGCTAGGCATCGGGCGAGGTATTCCCAGCCGACAAACAGCTCATGTCCTGTGAGACTCCCAGCTGGAACCCACGGCGACAAATAATGACTATGGGAGAACAAGTTGGGACTGACTGGCGAGCTGAAGTCCGTCAGGACTGCATTACAAAATCTTCAACTGGCTTTGTGTAGGATGTGTGGACAGTGGCCTGGCACAGAGCCCCGGCAGGGGGATGGAGTCGAGGTCGGGAGGTCTAAGAACATTCGGGAAGCTGGCAGCCCCTCACGCTCTCTGACCTCTTAGTGTCTCTGGCCCTCTTTGGGAGCAGAAGGCTCTCCAGAGACGGGCTGAGGGGGCCGAGCGCGGGACAGGGTGGGAGCAGAGCCAGCGAGGGAGGAGGCACTTCAGTTTGGGCTGGTGTTCATGGAGTCGGCCCTGGCCCCAGGAGTCAAGTGGCCCTGCCTGGCTGCAGCTCCGGCGCTGGCTTGTCACAGAAGACCCCCGTGGCGGTGACAGGTAGGCACTTGGCAGCATTCCCAGGGCCAGGCAGGGCCGGGGCTCTGTGCAGGCTCCACACACACTAGGTCATCAAGATGGGTTTCTGCCGTACTTCCAGGATGTCTAGGGTGACAGGAGGGAGCAGGTGGGGTGAGGACACTCTTGGGAGGGAGCCACAGCTGCCATGTACACCCACCATTTCTGGTCAGGCCTCACAGACACCATCATCACCCTGCCCTCCGACACCAGCAATGGGTAAGTGTAGATGCAGAGGCCAAGAGGAATAAGACCCCCCACAGATACTCTGGGGCTAACACCCCCCTGCCACCACTGAAGGAAGGGCCAGTGAGGACATGAGGGACACAGGTGGAGGGAAGCCACTGGCTATGGGAACTACAGCCCACTGAAGGGCTGTACTGAAGGGCTCTGCCTTCCTGTACCTGTTAAGATCCGATGCAGTGGCAAGGTGACGTAGGTCAAGTGTGCATAGAGAAGGAAGTTTCCATCAGCTCGGTTCAGCTTCAGCCAGGACCCAACCAGGGACCGTCCTGTGCCGGACAGGGATCGAGACCGCAGGTTGGTGGCATTATGCAGGTCGGCTGCAGGGGAGAAGGGCAGGTCAGTGTCCCAGTATGGGTCAGGGAGCATGGGGGCGGGGCAACAAGACATCTGCTCCTCTAGACTGATGCCACTCACAAGTGCTCCCCACCCCCAAAGCCCTGCTTCTAGGCCCTCGCACTGTCCTGTCTGCCAGGGTCCCCCTCTCCCTGGGCCTGGCCCGGAAAGTACCCAGGGTTCACCCCAGTGAAGCTTCCCTCTTCCAGCCACTCAACACAATGTGGAACTGGCATGGTCCCAGCTTGTGAGGGACGGTTAGGAATGCTGGCATTCCCTCAGAAACTCCCAACCCAGGGGGTCTGTTCCCTGAACCCCACTTCCCACAAGACTGATGGAGTGGCCAGTGTACCCACCAACCACCAGCTTTCCTGGACCAAGACTGCGGAGTCCTGTGCCACAGCTACACAACTCACTGGCAGTGACTGACCACTGGGGAGGGGTCTTGTACACAGAGCAGATGAGTGGGTGGGACCAAGGGCTCCAGGGACCTCTGGGCAGACACCAGAAGGTCATTGGTGGGGCCACAGGGAAGGATCTGTGAGTCAGGGTGACTCGTGGGAGACCAGGAGACAGAGGTAACAGAGAAACCCTGAGGTTCGCCCAGGACGAAAGGTTCTAGAATGAGGGAAGCTGGCCTGGGAAGCAGAAGAAGAAGAGCAAGACAGCCCGGGATGCACACCGAGGTCCGCAGAAAGCTCCAGAGCCTCTGGCTATGAGGTGGGCAGACAGTGTGAAAACAGGGCTCATGGAGGCAGAGCGCCCCACCCACCATCTATGCACAGCTTCACCCCAGCCCTGGGGTCAGCACTCTACACCTGACGCAGCTCTCTAAGTGACACTGGGTGAGTGGGTGACGGCGTGGATGAGTGCATGGATGAGCGAACGCAAGAAGAAGGAGTGGCCAGATGCACAAATGACCGCAAAGATGAGTGATCGCAAGCCAGAGCAGGGGCCGGGAGTCTGCAGGACGAAGGTGAGGCCATCACCTCCGCTGTCGTCCTCTCGGAAGAACTCCTCGCTGTCGTTGGCTGAGTGTGACTTCTTCATCTCTGCAATGCGGGTCCGTGGCACCTTCCTCTTGAGGGACGGGGAGAAGAAGGCGGGCCGGTTGTTTCGCTCCGGGGTGGGCGGGGTGCTAAAGGAGGTCACCTGGGAACAAGGAGTCCAAGTCACAAGTGTAGCAGGGGGTCCCCAAAGCCACTCAGATCAAAGCCGGCCCAAGCAGGGGCTGCAGTTACAGCTGCTGACCCTGAGCCTGGCCTGAGGGCCATCTGTCCTGGATGGGGGGCACTGGGCACTGGGGGCCTGCCACACGCACAGCAGCCAGGCCTGCCTAAGGCGGGAGCAGGCTGCCAGCAGAACTGACAGAAGGGCCTCTCGTACACATCTCCACACACAGGAGGGGCTGATCGAATGCCAGGTGACAGGCTGCGGGCCATGGTTGAAACACTACCGCGTCATTCCGACCATGTCCCAACACAGCGGTTCATGATGCCCGTCACATGCCAGCAGACAAGGCACACAAATGGCCACCGTGACCTGCCTAAAGCCACTGGGACTACACCCCAGGTCACCCCTTGGGGCCCTTCCCTCTTACACTTGGCCCCTCTCACAAGTGCTCAGGCTGAGCAGATCTCTGCCCGGCCTCTCCTCTCCTCCCTTCCAAGCACATTCGGTCCCAGCCACCAACATTCTCCACACTCACTTGGGGGTGAGGTGGGCACAGACAGGCACAAGACATAGATCCCCTGCCCTCAAGGAGCTCACAGTCTGCTGGGGGGTGACAGACTCAAGTGACAACCACAGACTGCATGCCGGTTGCTGAGACAGAGAAAGGGAAGCACAGGACATGGAAGGGACAGACAGCCTGTGAAATCAGAGTAGGCTTCCTGGAGGAGGTGCCGCTTGAGCTGGGTCTTGAAGGACGAGTAGGAGTTCGCCAGGTGAAGAAGGGGGGGAAGGGCGTTCCAGGCACAGGGAACTTGGCCCATCCCCTCCCTCCTCCCCACGCAAACAAGAATCGGGAGCAGCAAGATGAGCTGAGACTGAGACTTCGGGGCCCCATCGGCCTCCTCGTCATAGCTCCGACATCCACCAAAGTCCCGGCGGCTGCTGGGCTCCAGACGGTCCTCCCTCAAGTCAGGGAAGGTTTTAAGAGATAAAAAAACAAATACCAGAAACCACAATACACACAGTCTGAATTTCTTGTACACTGGTTACGAGTGAGCCCTTAGGACAAGAAGACGAGCAACAGTGTGTACATGGGCAGTGGCCTTGAGCCCCTGTATGACCTCATGACCCCTCCCCAGGGCGCCACATCTCCCTGCTCTGAAGGGCATGGCTAAGGGCCAGCTCATTCCCTCATGGCCACTCCCACTGGGTAGGTGGGACACCTGAGGCTTGGGTGGTCGGTCTCCTGACTCATCTGTGGGCCCTCGGCGAACAGTGGCCAGTGTTGCCCAGCTGGGGGTCACCTCTGCACACCTGCGCATGCACACCTTTCAGCGTCCAAGTGCCACACAGAACTGGGCAGAAGCAGGCTGTCACCCGGGAGCTCAGAATCCAAGACACCTCCATTCCAAAGCACAAGAGGGCCCCTGCCTGAGGTGCTCGGCCCTTTACAAAAATCCCGGCATTTCTTGGTTTTGTTTGGCTTATAAAACACACTAAGTGTAGAAGATTCCAAAAGAGAGAAAAAGAGGCGCCCAGCAGCAGCTGGTCAGGCCCTGTCCACTCGAGAGTCACCTCTCATCAGCTGCGGACAGTAACCACCGTGGCTGCCACATGGGACACTTCCCTGGGCCAAGCCCCATGCAAGGCATGAGCCCCTGGAAACCCCACACCTTGGGAAGCAGGATCACACCTCACTACAGAAGCTTAGGGAAGAAGGGACTCGGCCAAGGTCACACGGGCAGCGGATCCTCAGCCCACCGGGGCTCTTGGACAAGGGCTGACTGATGCACCCACTGCTCTGAGTGACATCTGAACACTGACTCCATGGGCAGCGCCTTTCTCCAGCCTGAGCCTGGGGTCTCTACGTGGCCACTGACATCAGCTCCCCACTAAGGACTGAGAGAGCGAGCTCAATGGAAGCAAGGCTTGAGGCACTACGCTGAGTCCTCAGAGCTGCGGCAGGGGCAGTCCAGACAGAATCCTGCCTGCCGGGGGATACTGCTAACAGACAGACTACCCTAAACAAATGACCAGGCCCAGAGCGAGCCTTGTGTTTGCTGGGTGTCCTCACGGGACAACCCAGGGTTCAGTTCTTCCTCCCCCTATTGGCCCACTGCGGAACGGCTATGTGGCCGCAGCTGCCCAGCAGGTCCACAGGGACAGGGACCAGGCCCGGCTCCTAGTCCATTTCCTCTGATCTTGGCCCTGGGAACCGCCTCGGGGCAGAACAGCTCAGGGAAGCAGCAGAATCAGCCTGAGCCTGGGTAGGAACCTGCAGGGTGACCTCACGCAAGGCACCTCCCCTCTCAGAGCCTCGGATTCCTCATCAGCCGTGGGGGTCAGCTGGTGACATCTCCCTCACCTGGGGGCTGTGGGGTGAGGAAGCCACGGGAAGTGAATGGAGGGACAGGAAGTCCCTCCCCCTGCTGTGCAGCCCTTACCCGCTCATGCATGGGCGACGCCGGGTTTGAGTCTTCTTCGGTCCCGCAGGGGGACGTGTCCCCGGTAGACACGCGGCTGACTGCCATCTCGGCGTGGCCCTTGCCCTGAGGCCCCTTCATGCGCACGAACTCCATGTTGTTGTACTTATAGAAGCCAAATGACATCTTCTGGGCCATGCGAGCCGCCACACTCACCTGTGGTAGGTGGGACAGGCCCGTCAGCACCCAGTGAAGAGCGGCTCCACAGGCCCTCTCTCTCCAGACACAGCGGCCATCTGAGCCATCTCCGAGCCATCCTGAGGGAGGCTGAGCCACGGGGAAGCCAGTCTAGTATGACCTGTGTTCCCGATCCCTGGCCAAGGCTGTTCTCACTGCCCTGCACACCCACACTGTTGGCCCGGGCCTTAACCCTGGGCCTAACTTCACCTCAGGCCAGACAGCATCAGCTACAGGAGAGTGGCCTGTTCATCCGGACTCCTTTCCCTACTGTATTAGTCAGGGTTAATTTTGGAAGTGTCCCCAGTCCTGGGCTAAGTACTCCTTTCCAGCAGTAAGGGAGAAGCGGTATGGTACCGGCTGGTGCCCTGATGTGGGGTGGTCTCAGCAATGCAGGCTGGGGGGTGGGAGGGGGGGGACGAGACGTGAGGAGCCAAGGGCCTGGACGTACACCCCAGGCAGCCCTGCACTCACGCGGTTGTCGTAGGGGGGGGGGGGGGGGGGGGGGGGGGGGGGGGGGGCGGGACGTGAGGAGCCAAGGGCCTGGACGCGCACCCCAGGCAGCCCTGCACTCACGCGGTTGTCGTACACCTTCTTGAGCGCCTCGTAGCGGATGGAGCCCTGGAAGATGACGCCCTGGAACGTGTTGGTTTTGTCGCTGGCCACCAGCTCGACGCAGACCATCTCTCCTTCCCCTACGGTCATGTCACTGAAAACCTGAGCGGGGGAGGGGAGACGGAGGTGACAAACCTCGGCGCCACCACCCACACCGGGCTGAGGCAGACGGGGCAAGATTTGAGGTTAGCCTAGGGTGGAGACAATGTGTCTCAAGACCGAGAAGTGGGGGGAGAAAAAGGGGAGGGAGAGAATCTGGGAGGAGAAGGGGGTCCCGTTTCACAGACGAGGACCTGTCCACAGGCACCCACTGTCCACCATCCCCCTCCTCCAAATCTCAGGGTAGGAACAGCCTCCCTGGGGGGCAGGGCTGTGCAACAGGGGGGTGGCTGGGACTGGAGGAAGACACCCCACGCCAAGCTGAGCCACCAGCAAGACCCTCATCTGACTTCCTAACACCGAGTTCAAGTTACAAGGACTATGGGGACACTTGGGGACCTCCTTCGTCACAGCCTGGTCCAGCCCACCTTACCCTGAGCTTGGCTGTCCAAGCTAATGTGACTAACTGTGACTGCCTTCCTGGGATAACACCACCTTCACACAGGCAGTGTGACCACACCCCGCCACATTCCCGAGCTGCTGTTCCTTATCTCTGACATCCAGATGTGAGCTTCGAGGTGCGAGACTCAGGGGCAAACACATGTGCAGCGTGAGCCCATGGATCATCTTCCTGAGCCTCGGGTATTTTCAGACACCATCAGAGCCCACAGGGGCCCTGAAAGCCATGCCCACCTTCATGGAACTTCCAAGAACCATGGCTATCTCTGGTACACACAAACACACACACACACACACACACACACACACACACACACACACACCCACGCTCCATCAGCCTTGGCAGACAAGCAGAGCAGGCAGTGGAATGGCCGCGTCCCTCCTCCACGCCTGACTTTAGTGAGCTAATGTGTCCGGAGCACATTCGGCCAATCTTGAAACAAAGCCTTGGCCACAGAACCGAAGGCATGTCCTCTGACACCCTGGGCAGGGTGGAGGCGGCCGTTCACAGAGCGGCAGGTGACGGCTCCTTCTGGCCAGGCAGCACTTATTGCAAGCATCTAGGATGCGCACCCCCGCCCAGAAGTCCTCAGGTCATCGACCCTGACACCTGAGTAGGTCACAAGGTCATGACACTCACTTTATTGATGAATAATAAACCAAGGCCCGGAGCAGGGAGGACGGACTTGTCCAAGTCCATCACTGTGAGGAGGGGGGACCCACTGGCTGTCACCCAGACCATTCCCTGCTCCTGCTGCCCATGTCTCTGGAGGCTTTGCAGGTCCTCAACCTGACACCCCGCCCCGCCCCACCCCCAGGAGACGAGGATGGGGAAGGGGGCCAGGGGTGAGCACTCACCTCCTCGAAGCTGTCGATCATGAAGAAGATGTTGGGGTAGCTCATCTTGGACTCTTCTCCTTTGCTGTCCATGGGGTGTTTGCTGGGGGATGCAAACACTTGCTAAAAAGAAAGCAAAGCACAGGGCTGAGAAGCCAGCCTGGACGCGACAGCCACCTCAGGTATGGCCAGGGATGTTCTCTTCGGGAGCCATGGGGAGGGCTGGGCGCATGCATATGACCGAGACCCCTGGAGTCAACCCCTCACCTCAGGGGAGGGAATGTGAGAGGGGGGGACATCCTCCTAGAACAGGCAATAGGTAGCCGGGACAGCTGGAGGGAGGGAAGGAAGGAGGGAGGGAGGGAGGGAGGG